TCTCCATCCTTGGCAGTTTTTATGGCCTAGTTTGACAAATCCCTGGCTGGATTGATTTAGGCAAGGATGGTCCTGCTCTGCGCAGGGGGTTGGATAGAATTTAAGTGACCTCCTGAGGTTCCTTCCAACCCTAATTTTCTATGATACCTCCTTAATAGAAATAGCTTCCAGGGGATGAAAGAGAGGACAGAACTGGGTTTTTGATAATTTTTTTTGTCCTAGATCTCACAGTTAAGACCCTCACTTCAATTTTCTCTATATCCATTTCTGACTGAGTTTAGCTCCCTCACTATGTGTCACATGAAAATCTCAGGGTTTGGCCTTAAAAAGTAAGTTTGTTAAAAGCACCTTCAACTACAACACTAAAAATAGCAGTTTTTGCTCAGGAGTTCAATGTCACTTGGTGGATAAAATAATTATTTCAAAATTAATAACCATTTTCTCTTCTCTAATCTTTCCTAAAAAGAATGCAAGCAAGGTAGTCATACAACAAAAACATGAAACATTACTTTCACCCTACAACCAATATGGCAGTTCTGCAAACTCAAAACATTTCTGAAATTATAGTTCCATCCAATTCATTATGTGGCATGTACATGACTTAGGTAGTTCACCTTTAAGCCCAGAGGGTGCCAAAATGAAATGCAGGTTTGCATCTGCTAAGATGCATTAAAATAAAAGAAGACCACACTAGCTAGTCTTCAGTGTGATTATACCAAATAGGTTCTGTTGATATTGCATAAAACTAAGATAATAAAAAACAAACAGAAACTGGTAGTACTTTATTCTATTTATTTGGACTTAGATATATTTAGACTTTAGTTTGGGGGTGCAGGGTATCTCACTTTTCAACCTAAATGAAGGTTACCTTCAGGTGGACATGATAATGACAGTAACACCCACAACAAAATTTTCTACTCTTTCCCCCCAGAATTCTATTTTGAAAGGTATGCAAAGATGCAGCCAAAAGGTCCTTACCAGAAAGTGTTTGCAGACCAAATTTTTTTCAAACCTCTATAATCTTTTACTTTGGCCTTTCATGTTTGATGGAGGAGGTATATTGTTTCAAAGAACTGATTTGTTACACGTATCAAAAGTGACAAGAATAAGAGCAATACAGAATTATGCCCTCACTCATGTGCCTGAACATTTCACCTCCCGTAAGAAGAGAAGATCAGGCAGCTACCTCACTTAAAAATCAACACCCTTAACTGATATTGGATGCAAAATGCAGCACTGCTAGGAATCCAACTTTCTGAACCTAAATAAGCCACTTTCATATACCAATCAATCTTCACTGGCTCAGCAGGTGCAATAAGGAGCCTGCTTTTGAACCCAAGGTTCCTAATTAGTAGCACAGCATGGACACTTTCTTTTAAACATACCAAGATTAACAGAGACACAACCAAACTGAGAGTGCAAGCTGCCTATAGTGGCTAGATGCCATGCACAAAGGATTGCAACCTGACACTTTTTGTACTATGCTGGTAAGAACACACATTAACCCTCATCAGCAGGGCTAATTTCCTCCAAGCTCAGCTCAAGAGAAAACAAGGATCATGTTACTTAACACTTGAGCTCTAGGTGTATCCTCTGCTCTTAATACAATAGTTTAGAAGTTGGTTTACCAATTTTAAATCGGGGGTGGCCAATAATGGAAGTCCTTACATATTCAAATGTAATTCTTTAAATTGGGAGAGAAGTCAAGAGATTTCTACAACATCCTATTTACATCTCATTTTTGGATCAATTAAGAGTTAAATAAAATAGGTGGAGAGTTTATAGTGCCGAATCACTCTGATATATTAACTATGCCAGCGAGGCCCTAACAACGCTTGCTTACCACAGCACCTCAGCAAATAACTTCAGGTCTAGTTTTTCCACCTAAACAACTGCACGGGAGGAGCACAATACACGTTTCTTAAATCTCTGTAGGAAGGGTGATTACAAGGATGGAAAGGGAAAATAACAGCAAGCTGCTAACTCTTTGCTGTCAAGAGTAATGGGGAGATAAACAGAAGATAATTATAGCACTGTCTCTGCAGACCGCATTCAAAAAAAAAGAAGTCGTCTGCAAGTAGGCCGAATTAGACACCGTTCTGTTATGCAAACAAATCGCCAAGTTAATGGTGAGGGAAGCAAGGATTTTGCTCTGTGGAAGCTGGACAAGCCAAACTCCTCTCCTGCTAGCTTTGCAATGCCATGCTCCTAATATGGCAGAGCCTAACCGTTTCCTTGAAGGAAGGGGCTGTCACTCTTTTCTCTAAGGGTGCGGGGGGGGTGTAAAGAGAGGCACGCCGCGGCCTCCGGGCCCCCTCGGGCCCTGCCTGTTTGAATAGCGGAGCAACCCCCACCCCGCCCTCACATCAGGCCGCGCTCCCAGCGTGAACAGCCCGGCGTCTCAGACCCCGCAGCCTTTTGTTGCTTCCCCAGCGCCGCGCCTGCACGTACGAGCCTCAGCCCAGCCCTCCCGCACCTGGAGGCGGCTCCGCTCCCGGGCCCGGGCCCGACCCCCAGATCCCCCCGCACCGAGGTGCGACCGTTGGAGCCCCCAACCTCTGCGCACGCGCGAGGCCCCCTCCGCGCCCCTCCCCCACGCCTGCTCGGGGGCGGCCCCGCGTGTCTGC